GTTTAGGGTTGAGGGTTTTAGGGTCTGCGCCTAGAGCTCCCTCAGTTCACGCGCGATGTCATAGATTCTGGTTCGTAAGCTCCAGTTGTAGAAACTGGCCAGGGTAGGTTCAGGACAGGCTGTTGTGATCAACCGTGATGTTCAGTGCCTTTGTCGTGTCGGAGTCTTTTGCACAAGTCTGTATTTCATTGAGCTAGCCCTGTCGTCCCCTAAACTCTACACCCTAAACCCTNNCTGAACCCTAAACCTTAAACTCTGAACCCTAACCTTGCACCCTAAGCCCTTAAGGCTTAAGCCTGAAGCCTGCGTTGGAGCAGGACGGAGCATGCAGCCTACTCAGAGCAGTTCCTTTGCTGAACCTTACGCCCTGGGCACAGCGGAGTTCTTGAACATTTTCGGGTTGAAGGCCCCCTTATCGTCCATACACGATACCCTGTTTCATGGTTAACCGCACCAACCCGGAATCTTGAACTTCATAACCCCCAAATCCTAAGCCCTAAACCCCAGACCCTAAATCCTAAACCCTAAACCCTAGACCCTAAATCCTAAACCCTAAACCCTAAGGCCCAAGTCCTAAACCCTAGGGCCCTAGTCCTAAACCCAAACCTTAAATCCTAAACCCCAGGTCCGCGTGGCTAAGCGATGCTCAGCAGGCCAGAGATTTGGCGGAGAAGGCGAGGAGCACAGCAGTAAAGGAAACTACAGGTGGGAGTTTAGGATTTAGGGGTTAGGGCTTTAAGGGTTTAGGGTTTAGGGTTAAGGGGTTAAAGGAAGCTACAGGTGGGAGTTTAGGATTTAGGGGTTAGGGCTTTAAGGGTTTAGGGTTTAGGGTTTAGGGGTTAAAGGAAACTGCAGGTGGGAGTTCAGGATATATAGGGCTTCTATAAGACGTCTATAAGGTATATAGACCTTCTATAAGGCTCCCATAACGGTAGCTATCCACCTGAAAATGTCTTAGACAGCGAGTGATATTGAGGTTTGAATAATTCGTAGCAGTTCTCCGTTATGAACCCCTTTGAGATGACACTACAATATCCCCGGGTCCCTACATGTAGTTATGCTACAATATCCCCCTGGAGCTCCGGGATGATAAAGCTGTAGTACACTCGAATGGTTAAGGCCTCTGCTGCGTGTTTCAGTTTTGGGGTGCTCTTGAACTTGGGGTATGCGCGGAGGGGCGTGGGGATAACGTGAAGTGAGGCCCCAGAAGTCGGTCCCTCTACCCCCCGAAACGAGAGACACGCCGAAGCCGTCATGCTTCCCATGTGGAGCCCTTGGAGCTAATTGCTGTATCAACACAGTGCAGGGGCCATCCCGCTACCATGAAGTCCCTCATGCGAGAGAAGCTGGAGACCACACCACTAGAGGTGAAACGAGTGCTGAGAAGTTTCGGGCAACCAGCGGACGACTGTAGCGTAACCTTGCTGCTCACCGAAAATGGTATGCCCAAGTACATCATTGAGCTCAAGGACGGCACGCGGCTGTTCATGGGCAGCGTTTTTGGAGACTCGAAAGACTCCGACAATGTGCTCGCGTCCATGCGCGCTGCAAATTCTGCCGCAGGCTTCTTACCGACGTCGGTATCCATCGGTGGCTACTTATCCACGGCCTCAGGGGGATGGTGGACGGAGGTGGACGCTGGTGCCATGCTTTGAGGAGAAGCAGTGCCTTGCATCGGACAAGCATACTCCAATGAGTGAATGCTCTTACAAGCTGCCAGCCACACTTGGTGCCTTGCACACCGCGTTTCGTGCAAGCGGCGTCAGCATCGAGGGTCTGAAGTACTACTCTGCTGTCGCAAGCTTCGATGCGGCCCGGGCGAACCTTCAAAACTGCATGGCCTCAACATCGGCGATGCCCTCGGACTTGCGACCTGTCCTTCGGCCTGTGGAGCAGTGTCTCAGACAGTTGCGGGAAGCCGACGTGGCCGTTTTGGATGCCCTGCCCCGGCAAGTGATTCACGGTGACTTCCAGCCGAAGAATCTGATGCTGAGCCCAGATGGCTCCCTGCGCATCTGTGACACAGAGACCATGACCCAGGCCCTAAACCCTAAACCCTAAACCCTAAACCCTAAACCCTAAACCCTAAACCCTAAACCCTAAACCCTAAACCCGACCCAGGGTCCCAGAATCTACGACTTGCTCTTCGTCTTCATGGGTAGCGACGATGGCGACTTGCTTGGTCACTGGGGCGCGGCGCTGGACCGACTGGAGGAGTACCTTGTCGCCTCCTGGCCGCTGGATGAGGATGAGCTGCAGGCGATTGTCTAGTGCTTAGTAGGGAATGGGGGAATGGGTTATAGGGACTACTATAAGGGACCTTAAGGGACTATTATAGGGATCCATTCCCCCATTCCCTACTAAGCACCAGACAAGACAGGCGATGCCTACAGCACTTGCCCACCTTGCGACGGGCATCGCAGCATGGGCTGCGCAGAAGTTCGAGAACCCTGGCAGCTTATCTCCGGAGAGGCTGATGCAAATCATCACCTGCTTCTCCCAGGCCGCCGGGGAATTTTTAGACCTGAACCCTAAATCCTAAACCCTGAACTCTAAACCCTAAACCCTGAACCCTAAACCCTAAACCCTAAACCCTGCTTCTCCAGGCCGCCAAGGAGTTCTCAGATTCGGAGAGGATCACGGCTTGCTGCCGTCTGGCCAACTGCTTTGCGGGAGGCCCTGCAGTGGAACTCGAGGCTTACTGTACTTACTTCCACAGGACAGAGGAATTGGGCATGGCCCTAAACCCTAAACCCTAACCCCCAAACCCTAAACCTTAAACCCTAATTCTTACTTCCACAGGACAGGGGAATTGGGCCCAAAATCCCAAACCCTAAACTAAACTAAACCCTGAACCCCAATACTTGCTTCCACAGGACAGAGGAATTGGGCATGGGCTTTCAGTGCCCAGCCCTGGAGACCGGCGAGAAGAGAGCAGCCGTTTTTTTCAATGGCACTTTCTCTCCTGTGCATGCTGGGCACCTGGCGACGGCTGAATCCGCCGTTAAGGCCGTGAAGGAGCTTCATCACCCAATTCGGCATCCACTTGATAAGTGATCAGTAATTAATCCAGGGGCCTTAACAATTACCTATACTATTTTGGGGGGTTCCGTATTATAACTATACTGTAATATACCCCAGAACCTTGTTTTTTTTTACACCGCTTTCCATGATTTGTTTTTGTCATCGCTCGGCCTTGGATGAAGGAGCTGGGATTTGACAAAGTCACGGTTGTCTTCTCGCCATGTCATGATTCCCATGAGGGCGGAAAGCTCAAGCAGCTCAGTGTTGGCGTGAAGCACCGGGCTGCGATGCTAGAAGTTGCAGGAGCCACTGTGGACTTGTATGAGGCTTACCGTGACACAGCAGCCATGGACTTGGAAGGTGTGCAGTCGTCCTTCGTGCGGCGGCTGCCCGCCAACTACGATGCCTTTTTCTTGGTAGGGGCGGACGTTGCGAGCTGGAGGTGGCTTCGGAGGAAAGTGGCTCTCGGCCTCTTCGTGCTGCTTGTAGCGAATCGCCCGGGATCCGAATCTCGCGTTGAAGCTTGCGAAAGGAGCTTCTGATCGTCCTTTTGGCCAGGCTCCCTTCATGTGGTTCGCGGTAAGGACACGGGCAAGTCTTCCACACGGATCCGTGCGGCTGCAGCTGGCAATGGTGACTTGGAAGCTGAGGTGGGTATTCCGGAGGTTGCGGCGTACATCGCACGGCATGGATTGTACAGGCCAGCCTTGGATGGAGCATGACTCTCCATTGAAAAAGATTTCAACATGCTGCCAAGATGAATCAAGGTCCGCTGACGCTGAAAAATAGTATTGCTTTGTGGTGATACAATGTCACTCTAGAGTATATCCCACAATCCAGTTGCATGTTTCCAAGCCTTCGTATCTGGAGAGGACTCTTCTGAGGGATCATCCCGCCTAATATGCAAGCCTCAATAATTGCCAACATTATTCCTCAGGGTTCCTTATTATGAGTGCAAAATATTTAGGAACGACCAAAACCCTGTTCTAATTTTGAAAGTCCCTATTCCAGGTTTCCCCGTAGGACCCTTTTGCACTTTTTCTTTTCCGGGTTCGTTTATTAACACCAAAATAGTAGAAACATGGGCGGCCTTATTTCTAAGGGTCTACTGGGGAACCTACGGTTGATGATCTACACCCTGCATGACCTGGGAATATTCCTATATTCATGGGCAATGCAGGATTTCGGTCATCAACCGTAGAACCCCTAAACCCTAAACCCTAAAACCCTAAACCCTAAACCGTATAGGAACGACCAAAACCCTGTTCCAATTATGAAGGTCCCTATATCAAGGATCATGGGACAAAGTAACTAGGGTTATAAATAAGGCAACTATACTTATAACTACTTATAACCCCAACGACACCCTAAACCCTAAACCCTGAACCCTGAATCCTGAACCCTAAACCGTAAGGTAGAACCCTACTTACTAAGTCCCATGATCCTCCAAGTAGGCTTCTTTGGGTCGGCAGATCCAGGCTCGGGTTTAGGGTTTAGGGTTTAGGGTTTAGGGTTTAGGGTTTAGGTGCATGGCGTATCGTCGACGAGAAGGGTTTAGGTTTTAGGGAGACCCCTTAACAAGGGGGACCCTTTCTTAAACCGTCTAGGGTTTAGGGTTGTTTTGCGGGTGTTAGGGTTTAGGGTTTAGGGTTTAGGAATGGTTTAGGGTTTAGGGTTATTGAGGGGTGTTTTGGGGTTTAGGGTTATTTAGGGGTGTTAGGATTTAGGTTTTAGGAATGGTTTCGGGCTTAGGGCTGTTTAGGGATGTTTAGGGGTTTAGGGTTAAGGATATGCGGCCTGGGTCTTGTTGAATCTGACACCAGTAGGGTGTTGAGCGGTTAGTAGATGCTTATGTTCGATGGGTAGGGGTTGCAGTAGTACCCTTTTACCCTTTCTCTGTTTTGGGTCTCTTTATTTACCAACCCTAAACCTTAAACCCAAGACCCTACACTCTAAGCCTCGAATAGTACGCAAAGAGATACCATCTTTTGCCAGGGCCACTGGGTAAACTAGATGGTTGGTCGATGGCAAGGAAGTCCAACGATGGCCTGCAGAGGTATGCATTCTATACTTGCGATGGGAAGGGCCTGGAGGGGACCCGAATTTGAAAGCCAAAACCCTAAACGCTAAACCCTCCCTAAACCC